CGATTGTGTATGGGGTGTATGTTATCATCTTCCTGCCGTTTCCGCCGAATTACCCTGTCACGGCGAAGAATATGAACTATGTGGCGCCGGTGTTTTTGGCCGTGCTGGTCTTTGCGATTGGTGACTGGCTTGTGCGAGGGCGGAAACGCTGGCAGGGGCCGATGGTTAAGGTGCGCGCGGAGCAGTAGTAGATGATTAGCTCTGGTTCTTGAATAGCTTTACTTCTACTGAGACGCTTTCTGCCATCCAATTGTGGATTATTATGTGTAGAGTAACTCATACGTACTGTACTGCACCTAAGTCTAGTCATTCCTCCACTATCATAGAGTCAAAAGTAGCACCAAACTCAATCCCACATTTTGCCAGCTAAATCAGCCACTGATCGATCAAGCCTGCTAAGCGTCGGTTCGGGACTTCGGGTCCTTTGGCCCGAACCCGAATACGTAGCTTAGATAGTTATTGTGATCCCTGTGACCCTGTCTAGTCTGCGCTTTAGTTTCTGTGATCCTTGTCAACACGGTTCGTAGCAAGAATTAAGTCCACCAATCGGCTTATTAACAGCAATTTTATCACACGTTGATTGATGGTACCCTAGTTGTGAGTTACGATGGATCGACGTAAAGGACTTTGGGTTGGTTGTAGCCGGTAGTTACCAGCTGGCCATGCTGCATAGAGTGTCAGAGGGCAAGAAGCAAAGGACTTTTATGTTGCTTATGGTTCTAGTTATGCGTCGCAGCGTGAGACGAAGGATGTCCTCAACTCATACTCATATTCTGGATATAACTTGGTTCTGGCAAGCATCCATTGCTGAGCACAAAGCTGTATACAGTTGACTCCTGTAGAGCGTTGTCAGAGCCTAAACCAGTTTCGAGGCATGAGGCATGACGCGTCCTCTCCGCTACTCGCTATCAACACCCCTGAACTCAAAGTATCTGGCAAACTCCTCATCCTCAATCAGATCCCGCGCCAGCTCTTTCTCATACATAAGCGCAAACATATTTCCTTCATCGGAATCCGGACTCTCGTCCAATCTAGGCGGATACACCACATGCACACCAACCGTGACACCCACCCCGCGTTGCAAATGCCGGTAGCACAGCGGCCGCGCAAACCCAACGTCCGCATCGGTGACAGCCGCCGTCCGGTGGTCGGTCGTTAAAATCGACATGGGCGGTTTGGAGTTGATGCGGATATTCAGAGCCGCCTTGTTGCGGACGAACGAGACGGCCGTCAGCGCCGCGTTGAGATTCTCCTGCGTTTGAGTGTTGGTGAGCCGGCGGATATACGCCGCCAGCTCCCACAGCGGCTTGTCCGATATGACATCGCCGTGCGTGAGCGGCGGGAAGGGCGCTTGATCTGACAGGGCCACCCAGAGAACGTTGTGCTGGATGCGCGGGTGGACGGGGGGGTTCTTCATCCGGCGGCGCATGTCGACGGCTTCGCACCAGAAGATGGGGCTGTCGAGGGGCTTCTGGAAGACGGGCTGGCGGAGGCGGGTCGTGGTGCGCCAGATGAACGCGGCGAATGCGTCGTAGGTCGAGATCCAGGTGCCGTCTTGTGGGGTCGCAAGTTTCTTGAGTTCCGCGGCTTTGCTCTTTGGCAGGTGGAAGAGGAGGCACTGGCCTGGTTTCTGCGCACTGGCCTGGTTTCTGCTCTGGATGGAGCTGTGGCTCCGGGGGCCCATCGACCTGCTGGTCCGGTGGAGGATCGGGCTTTGAGACGATGGAGAGGTCGTTGCAGGCTGGGTCCCAGGTCGGGAATGGCGTCTTGTGGGTTATGGCGTAGCAGTTTTCAGCCAGCTGGTGGATGAACCCCGTCCAGCCCATTACGTCGTTGGAGTAATGGTGCGTATGTGTGATGAGGACGAGGCCACCGCGGACAAAGTTGGCCATAAAGGCCGAGACGACGGGAGAGGCGTCCGGGTGCGCTTCTGGTCGCTCGCCGTATGTCATTGATTCGAGGCCCCAGTATTTGAAGTCACCGAGCGCGAGGCAGGCAAAGCTTGACTGTTCGATATCCGCCATTGAGGGGAATCTGCCTGCATCCTCGGGTGCATCGAGCCATTGGACGATAAATTGTATTGTGCTGTCTCGCTTCTTGACAAAAGAGTGGCCTCCCTCCGGATCCTTTTCGATGGTGCTGCAGAGATGTCCGATTTGCGCTAGGGTACGCTCAAGTCCTTCCTTGAGTACCGCTGCCGCCCTAGGTTTATCTGGGTCCTCTAAACGGAAGAATATGGCATAGTGGTTGAAGCAGGAAGCAGACAGATAGTCGAGGGTCGATATCTTGAACCGTTCTTCTTCCGGGCCGGCCAGCCGTACGGATGAAGTTGGTAGACTTCTTTGCGGATCATTGTTGTTGCTGAGTAGCCGGTGCGAGGACGAAGCTGAGTCCTAGGCACAAAGGTAGTTATCCGATATTAGACAGAGATCATTTGCAGTGATCAGGAATAATCCTCAAGACCGGATTTTTAGTGTCAGCAAATGCGGGGCTGTCAGCATCGCTGTCAGTTTCCGTTTATATTGCGAAGACCTAATCAGGTCAGCAACAGGTCTTAATTTCCCGTGGTCAGGCAGAAGACGCTAACCGGCCGTTTAACCTCAGGATGAAGGAGCCACAAGCGATACAGATTAGATTATTCGCCTCTACAAGAGGCTCAGCCGGAATGAAACCTTCAGCTAAGTACGTAGCATCCGTGGCCTGTCTAGGTGTCAGCAAATCCCTGTCGATAAGAACATCATTGCCTTTTCGAGGGACGGTTGCAGCGTAAGCGCACTGAGCGACCATTCCTCCCGCTTAGCCTTCCAATCAGGCTGGAAGAAAAGTGCCTTGCCGTTGTTGACTGGTCAGATACAAAGAGCCACAGGAAGCGACTGCTCGTATCCCGCAGATCGACAGATCAGAAGCGGGTAGGAATAGGGTCTGATTTGCGTGATTCCGTCTATAGCGTCCTCGCTCCAGCTGAGCAAAGTGATATCAATCAACCAAGCCTCGCTAAGTCGATTACATGGCTACCCGCGACTACAACCGGAAGATATCTCCCAACTTTCCTCTTTCCAAGAGCCAGCAGATCTAAAGTGGGTGGATATGGAATACAACCCGTAAATATATATCCAGGCTCATCAGCAGGTCAGTATGTTTTGGCATAGAGGCCTTCGCCAAGCATGGCTATATCAAGTCGGAGCTAGAGGACATGATGAATGTCATGCTCTCAATGATTTCTTCCATTGATATGAAGGCGATGCAGGTATATTTACCCAAAAGTGCTCAAGTAATCTTCTTCCGAGAATAAGTAGAGCGATGTTGATAAATTCACTGACAGTGCATTGAAGATTGAAGGTCTTCAAGAACTGGTCGCTTAGCTCAGTTGGTTAGAGCGTGGTGCTAATAACGCCAAGGTCGCGAGTTCGACCCTCGTAGTGACCATTTTTTGTCCTTTTCCTTTTTTGGCCTATCTGGAAGCCACCTGGGTTTCTAATATATTCCAGACTACTGGCTACAAATGCAGTAGAGGAGCAAGTACATCTACAATTATGCATGTGCTTCTGTACAGCAGAGATATATCGCCAATGCATGCAGGATCGTACAGCATGTCTTTATAATTCGTCTAAGCGCCAATTAGCGAGTAAGGAGGGAATCTTGTCCAGGAGCATATTATCACTAGGTAGGGTATGACTCTATACAGTTATTAAGACCATCCCATAAATACTGATATGCTGAGGTGACATAGAACATAGCATCAAGTGATAGCATCAAGCGGTGATGTCATCAACCCGCCACGCGGGCATGTTGTATATCCCGCGGGAGGGTGGAGCTTTTTCCGACCAGAGACGAGTCTGGTAGCGTAGTAGCGACGATAATTATTCATAGGTTTCTTTCCCTCAGGTTCCTGGGAAGAGGAAGCTATCCGGACAAGACCCTCTGACCGTTGCCGACGCGCCATAGCTTTCACAGCCATGTTGATCGTGCACCGGATGACGGATGATGGGCTCTCGCTGGGGCTTTGAGTGATCATGCCTGGACTGTCATCCTCATCGTCCTCGAAGCGAAGTGAAGCTATGTTCTTGCGGATATTGTGGTGTGCTTCCTCCATGGACCGCCGGAGGAGACTGTTGTGTGCGACGCATCGGCGTAGATCAGGGTTCTTAGCTGATTTTTCTTTTCTGAGTTTGTCGCGCGAGATGATGGCAATGCGGCAGGTGAGTATGGAGACATTCTGCCTGGCAATGGGAGGAATCCGAGGGTTTAATGTACGAGAGGCATGGCGGAGTAGGATGGTGGCAGTTGGTATGCTCTCGAGGGGCCCGGACATTTTGTCCGGTTAGCAATAGGATAAGGCCTTGTTAAGCGTGGACGAGAGATGCCATTCACCCTTGATCCTCAGGGACCAGGGTTACTTATACTTCAGCCTCGGGGCTACGGTAGAGTTTGAAGTTATACAGCTCGCACTGTCTATCCGATGAAGATATTGATCACCTCGGACGCGTTCTTCGGCCGAAGCGGACAATGGAACCGTCTTGGCCGAGAGGATCCAAGGCTCATACTCGGTTAACAAACTCTATCTATGATATGCAGCCGGTGCCGTTCGGGTGGCGTGTAGATGGTGTCATAGGTTGATCCTTTGAGCAGCCTGTGGGTACCCTCAAGGCATGTGGACTCCTTATCATTTGCTGTTTCTGTCCGGAATTCTGCAATCGCCGATGTAGCTGTGGGGATTGCGCAGTTCGTCGCGGATCGCCGATACACTACCAGGTTTAATCTATTGTCCGAGATCTGTCAGAAGATGTCACATCGAGAAGTCCGGTTGTGCATTCCATGGGTCTGTGGAAGTTGAGGTTAACCACCTGCCAAGAATGGAAGATCTTGCGATACAACTGAAAGAGTCAAGACCATCTGTTATTGTCCAGGTTATTACTATCATTATAGAATTATCGTAACAGTAGATTATGTATTGGTCAGTATCATGCGGCATGACGATATCGCTGATATTTTGGCCTTGCTCACACCAGCGCCAACAAGACCAAGCCCATCAACAATGTCATCGCCGGCGTCGACCTTTGCGAGTCATTTTTCTTGTCATCAGATGAAGTGTTTTCAGACGTCACATTCTTCTCGCCCATTGCACTCCCCATCCACGCATTCCAGTTGTTGTATCCATGATTCTTCCGGCAGTCGGTACTGATGGCCTGGCACTTCATCTGGGCAATCAGCTCGCCAGACCGTGACAGGGTCACCACGACCTCCCCCGTCTTCCCATCGATGGGTACACTGCCATGATACAGCCCTTTCTCCCCACTGGGCGTATCCGCCCAGCTCCCCGTCTTGTTGGCCCCGCCAATACTCACCGTCACGTCGGCCGCCGACTCCAGCAACGCCGAGTAGAAAATCCTATCCTGCATGATGGTTCTCGGGCTTGTCGTGTTCGTCCCCTCGGAAGCCAGCTGGCCCGGCGTGGTCTTCCCACTCATACACGCAGAGCCCGGATTGAGCCGGTACCACGAGACCACCCCCTCCTTGTCAAAACTCGCATTCTTTCCCCCACTCTTGTACAAATCAATCACATACGGCAGAAACTCCCGCCAGCCATCATGCGGCATCCCCTCGGCATAGTTGAAGGGGGCATCCCCCACAGCGAAAATCCCCAGGTCGTCCTCGTGCATGGGGACGACATAGTGCGACTCGCTGTAGTCGTTCCAGGTGATGATCTCCACGTACTCGGGCGCCAGCTCGAGCACCTGCTGCCAGCGGTCGAACCAGAGATCGTCCCCGCGCCAGGCCCAGTTCTTGTGGAACACGGGCAGGTTGGTGTAGAACCACGGCTAGACGGGCATGATGTACGGCCGCCCGTCCAGCGCCGCGATGTACTCCTCGTCCAGCGTGGTGTTCATGTCGTGCGCGCCGGCCGGCCACGCCTGCCAGCTCATCAGGCCGTCGATGATGGGGCTGCTGGATGCGGCCTCGATCCCCAGTGAGAACCACTCGGGGATGAAGAAGAAGTCCGACTGGGCGTTGTGCCTGACGTCTTTCCAGACGTCGGCGCTCTGGCCGCCTTCGAAGGTCGAGACGAGCGGCTTGTCGTCGTGGTGCTTGTAGTATGCGCTGCCGGTGGCGTAGTTGTCGATGACGTGGACGATCTCGTCGGCGGGCCATTGGGGAGCCTGGCCCATGTCGAAGGAGAGGAACATCTTGAAGTTGTGCTGGTGGGCGACGGTGAAGGCGTCATCGAGGATGAGCTCGTAGTTGTGCAGGCCGTAGCCGAGGTTCAGGGCGAAGGCGTCAATGTGCGCGGCCTGCGCGGCGGAGATGTCGTTGATCCATGTTTCTTGCGTGAAGTTGATGGCATTCGCTACCTGGTCGATATTAGTTATGTCAAGATGGGAATAACATTGTTCTTGTTACCATGAAATGAGCGAATACGGCTTTCGCCTGTACATGGCTGATCGTAGCTAACAGCCCGAGTAACGTCCACAACTCCATGGTGTTGACATGTGCTTCGCCTCCCGCCTACTGGAGTACGATCAGGACGATCGAAAGTTTAAGAAGAAAAGAAGACATACATGCTGATCGTCCTGGTCAAGATACGTAGAAAATCTCTGATGTGATCTACACAGATCCTCGATCAACCAATCGCCTAGCATCAATTGGATACTAACATGACATTTCATCTTCGATATTGAACTTATATCACATAGCGGTCAGACATTCCACGCAGCTCAAGGCTGAAACTTAAGGATCTTCCAATGGCCATCGAGATGCCCCATGAAACACTGCAAATAATCTTTAGCAGCAGCAACAGACGGTCAGGCTTGCGGTATATAACTATGGCATGTTCTGCTCCATTCGTCAAAACAGAGTCGCCAACAAAATAATCAGACTTTGCTAGTCGCAGATCCGGCAGATACTTGCATAGAGTTGGGCATTGTTGTTGGCGAAATGATATCAATCTATCATATACAATACTTTAGCCGCCCTTGCGTCTACCATTTGGACCCATGCAACTATGACAAGAATAGTAGAAAGAGACGAAAAACTTGCGAACAAGCGAATTTTCTTCTGAATGATAGCTTAGAACATCACTTCGAGGAGATACGTGTGAAGCGCAAATGCGATGCACTGAACGTCATCAAGGAATACTTCAATTCTACCGAGTTTTCCCGGCCCTAATGGTGAACCATGGCTCGGAGAACCTGTCAACTGCCCTACAACGAGTGGAGACAAAATCTCTGGTTCATCGTTAACGGGCTTTGCTCGGCTACGTCAATTCAAGTGTCTAGACTACATCCTCTGATGAAGGTGGGTCTTCGCTTATATTCATCTCGACCGACTGTTCTGGACTACCTGTACGGATTTGTTTACCGCCAGTTCGTCATGGTGTCCAAGACCTGCTCGTACTGGCGGTTCTGGACCATTGACAAACGAGCAGCAGCAGGCGAATGAGCTATGTCACTTCATAGGAGGACAACAGGAGTTCGGATTGACGAGTATCACGCAAGGGGTCTTGACTATCGCCAAGCTCGGTGTACATGCGCCATTACAAACCGTGGAGACTGGAGACACGCATCTGCAGCACAACACTGTCGAATACACTTTTGCCATTGAATTAAACAATTACCTATCGCCGATAACGCCGCACTATAATCAACACACCGCATGAGTCTTTCCCGTCTTGCCTTGAAGCGAATGCTTCTCCTCCGGGTAAACCGGATGATAGGGCTTTCCAGCCCGATGGCGAGCAGCGTGTCTACCGTATCCGTCAGCTTCTAAAACACAGTAAGTCAGCAGCAGCACATACAGAATATACTGCTCGATCATCGACCGGTCCATGTCCTCCAGCGTCTTCATCGCCATCTTGACATCCTCAACCAGCACATTACACCGATCCATACTAAAGTCCTCCCGGAGCACAATCCGCATCATCTTGAGCCGGTTGCTATGCGGCGCCATCGTGTACGCGGGTATCACCCACCCGCGCTGGCGGAGGACATGCGCAAGCGCATATTCATCCCATAGGCGGTTTTCATCGGAAGGAAGCCGGTACGCGACGAGCGGGAGGCCGCCGCCCGCGCCGTCGCTCATGATGATGAACCCGAGTTTCTCCAGCTCCGTGGCGAGATGGTCTGCGGTGCGGGTTAGGTTCTGCATGATGGAGCGGTAGCCGTGGCGGCCGAGCCGGATGAGCTGGTAGTACTGCCCGATGATGTTGGAGGCGCCCTTGGAGAAGTTGAGGGTGAAGGTCGCCTGTTCGGTGCCGAGGTAGTTGACGTTGAAGATGAGTTCTTTGGGGAGGTACTCGGATGAGCGCCAAAAGACCCAGCCGACGCCGGGGTAGACCTAACTCTGTCAGGGACGTCTGGAAATAGGGGTGAGTACCTACCAGACCGTACTTGTGGCCGGATACATTGATCGACACGACCTTTGGCAGCCGAAAGTCCCATTCTAGGGAGGGATTCACGAACGGGGCGACGAACCCGCCGCTCGCGGCGTCTACGTGAATCGGACAATCGATCTTCTTCTGGATCAACAGGTCGTTGATGGCTTTGACATCCTCGTACTGGCCTGTGTACGTTGTTCCCAAAATCGCACAAATGCCAATGGTATTCTCATCCACCAGATTGACCGCTTGCTCGGGATCAATCACGTACCGCGTCTCCGTGCAATAGACATATTTCTCCTCGACATCGAAATACCGCGCTGCTTTCTCCCAGCAGACCTGCACCGCGCTATTCATCACGATATTCGGGCGCATCCAGTCCTTGCCCTCGGCCTTGCGGCGGTTCTGCCAGCGCTTCTTCATCGCCAGCGTGGCCAGCATGATACCCTCGGAGGATCCAACGGTCGATGTGCCAATAGCGTCTTGGGTATCTGGAGCGTCGGCGGTTGGGGCGTGTAGCAGGTCCGCGATCATGTTGATGCAACGGTTCTGGATGTTGGCTGTTTGCGGGTATTGTTCGTAGTCGATGAAGTTTTTGCTCATCGCGTCGGTCATGAGGTTCTGGGCTTCGCCTTCCTGTATGCTGTCAGCTACACTCTCTGTTGGGTATGAAATCGATTACCATGTAGGTGGTGACGAAGCTCGCCAGACTGGACTGCGTCAGCATGCCATAACCTTCGCATGGAGGACTCGAGGACCTACTTCAGTAATGGATTCCCGTCAAGGCTCAATTCATCCTTGATTAACCGGTACGCAACGCTCGCTGGCATTTCGTGCTCTGACATTTCATGGTGCGGCAGATCTTGCGCTGCGAAGTGGGTGCCATAGACATAGTCGGTCACCTCGGTTTCTCTAGGATGGTGGCCTTTGGGGCGTTTCTGAACTCGACTGATGTGTACCATTTTGTTCAATGTGTGGATTGTAGATATTAAGTGAGTTGGGTTCTACATTTGAGACGCGTGAGGTGGTAACCTTTATGATGTCGATTGGTGCCGGGTGCGATGACCTCACCACTATGGTCATCGGTCATAGAGATGCAAGTAGTACCAAATGCACTTGTTCATTGAATGTTATATGCAGCTTGCAGTATGCAGGAGATACTCTTGTAAGTGTCTACATATACATTGCTTAATCTCCAAGTAGAGGATGAGTTAAGATAGAAGGGCAGTATGAAAAGTGACATTTTATCCACCCTAGTCATTATCTATTCACTTTCTGTGGTAGGGATTTACCTACACACGTATAGTAGACCAGGGAAATTAAAAAAAGGAAAAGAAAAAGAGAGAACATAGAAATAACTGGGCAAGAAAGAGGTTAATATATTGAGTGATTGATGACACAAAATGGAAAAAACAAAAGAAATAGGTGAGGTCGTGCTCGGAATCGGACCAAGATTGCCAGAATCAGAATCTGGAGTGATAACCATTACCATACACAACCCACTTGTTGAAAGCCTTGTAACATACTTGTTACAAATTAGAAAACTTTGATATTGACAAATTCACAGCTTTACCTTTATGATGGTAGCCAGAATTCAGGCAGAAATTTGATACTTAGTTCAGTCAAATAGTAAGGTACCTATAAGCTATGACAACGTGTGCTGACTCACTTGAGCAATCGAGAACTGAATTGCTATCCCTGGGATCTTTCTATTTTTATCATGCTGCTGTTGTACACATCTCAATGGCTTTGAAGCAGTACGACATGACGCGCTCTACAATCCTGTAATTCGTCAGAGCGGGGTTCATCTTGGAGTATCCATGTCTCTAGCACTTGGCCAATGTAGCTTCCCGTTCGACAGCTTCAGTTGATATTAACATCTAGGTTGCACATTGACACGTACGGAGGACATCATGCAGTACCGAGTCTACTTAAACACGGCCATCCCACACTTCAGCTGACCGGTTCATTCCTCACACTCAGCATGTCCTCCCCTCATCGGAATGGCGTGCAGGCATCGTGCGAACCTTGCCGCAAGTCAAAACTACACTGCGACCATTCCACCCCGATTTGCAAACGGTGTGTTCGCCGTGGAAAGTCGGATGTCTGTGTTTATAATCCCTCACCCATGACTCGGAGCTGGTATTCTGACCCAGTCTCCTCGCCAAATATGCCTGCAAGTTCCGACACCAATTGGGACAAGAAGGCCCAATCGGTCACACAACCAGAAACCCTGAGACTGACGAGCTACTCTGGTGTGTTCAGCGAGAGCGAGGATTATCTAAACGGGATCCTCGCGCCGCTGGCGACCTTGGAGCACAGTCGGGCCAGCTCGAGTCAAAAGCAGGTTCAGCTGGGCGCGCGGCTACTGCTGACCTTGTTTGAGAGTCTGTCGCTTTATGAGACTGTCGCAGACAATCGTTTAGACATTTCACCAGAAGGTTGTGTTGTCGGCCAACAGCTCGTCCGAATGATCTTTGCAGCCTTGAAAGATGCCCACAGAATCCTGGCAAATGCCCAGGATGCAAAAGAGCGTTACTATGAGAGCCTACTAGGGTGGTCCCAGAAACTATTTGACGAGCGCTCGCAGCTGATTGAGGTTGGTCCGTCGACGACACCCGAGGGATATCTTCGTTGTGTCTCCAATCGATGGGAAGGCATCGGGTTGGTCTTCTCCGTTGTGGGCCAAGGTGCAATGCTGGAGAGAGACTGGAAATCTGTATCTCAGTTAGCAGGTGCTGCACCAGCCGATCAAAGATCACTGGGGGTGCTTGCGGCCACTGCCAGCGATGCTTGTCTCCAATTTTGCGATGACTCAGGTGTAGTCCATGATCCGCTGGGCTGGCTGCTGTATCAGCATACCCATCTGCTGGCTTTGGTCTATGGTGACAATGGTATGACTCTGTCGACTCCCATCCAGCGGAACTAGTTCGCTATGCTGACAGGCAAAGATTACCAACCATGGCGAAAATTGGCCCAATTGTCCACTGTGGTATTTACCCTCGGGCTCAACCAATCCACACTCAACACGCGCATGCCCTTCTTTCTGGCCGAGCTCCGTAAACGCTTGATGGCGGGCGCCTATATCATGGATAAGCAGCTGGCCACTTTCCTGGGACGACCGCCTCAGATCAGCTGGAGATACTGCGATGTGCAGCTTCCTCTGGACCTGCGTTACGACGAGATCCTTGCCGACCCGGTTACTCGAGATGCCGCCATCAACAGACTGGATGCGAATGGTTGGAACAGTCAAGGCGTCATTCAAACGGCTCAGTTGCTGCGGATTGCTCTTCTGGTCAGCTCAATTAGAGAGCAAATCCTCGAATTGTCGCTGAGCCGCTGTGTGGATGACCTTGCACGAAAAGCCAAGTGAGTTCAAGACTCACATTTGGAATCGTCCGGCCGTCATTGATATTGTCTAGGCAAGTGTCTGAAAACTCCCGCAGAACGTGGGACGAACTCCCCAGTTTCCTTCGCTGGCGTTCTGGCAGTGCTACCGACGACAGCGGCAGTCTCATTCCTCTCTATCTTGACTTCCTCTACAATGATTTTCTTCTCTACCGGCTGCATTTCAGGTGCTCCCAGAACGAATCGGACACCTTAATCAATGTCTCACAGAATATACTCGGCACGGCTCTTCAGCTCATCGGGAGGGAGATTGCATCGGGAACTGGCACATACAACATAGGACAGAACGTAAGTCCACTTTCTAACCTTAACCGCACCGTCTCACCAACGCAGGTGTCTTCATTCGGCATCCCGGCCGCCGGCGTCCTAGCCATCGAGCTGCTGTGCCAAAGTGATGGATCATCACTGGCCCCTCCGTCGACTTTCCGACGGCCAGAAACCATCCAGAACCTGAGCGTCTTTGCATCCTACCTCCAATACGTCGTTCTACCGCATGAGGGAAATTACGACATCTGCCAGCGTGCGCGCCGTGTCCTGTGCCGTATCCTCAACCAGGCCTTATCGGTCAATCCGCCGCCGTTGCCCGCTAGTTTACCTGCTGATGCGGTAGGGGCGGATTGGTTGAATGGGGAGTCAATCTTGCTCGATGATGGGACGAATCTCCTGGAGTGGATCGAGAGTCGACTTGATTAGTGGACTAACTCTCGCCCTGTGCATTGGAAGCATCTAGCCTGACAATCTATAAGAGCTTTATAAGAACACCTGACTCTAATGTATTTCTGCACTGACAGCTTCCCAAACCCTAGCAACAGCAACTGCACAGGTAGGTATCGGTTATGGGGCTTCCTACCTCACTCGACGCAAGACTGACCGATTGAGATGCTGAGGCGACACCGATTTGATCCCCGACAGATGCAAAGTGAGATCCAGATCCGCAAGGATACTCCGCAGGACATGCGAGACACCCGCCTCACCCGCAATCGCCAGTCCATACGCATACGGCCGCCCGATCAGCACCATCTTCGCCCCGAGCGCCAGCGCTCTAGCGACATCCGCACCACACCGGACCCCCGAATCAAACAGGACCTCCAGCCGGTCCCCCACCGCATCCACAATCTCCGGCAAGACATCAAGCGACCCGATGCCCCCATCCTGCTGCCGGCCCCCATGATTCGACACCACAATCCCCTGCACCCCCACCTCCACCGCCCGCCGCGCATCCGCCACGCTCTGGATCCCCTTCAGCACAATCGGCCCGTCCCAATGCGCCTGCAGAAATCCAATCTCCTCCCACGAGTGACTCCGCCCAGGGAAGATCATATGCGCCCACTCCGCCGCCGCGGCACCCATATCCTCCTCGATCTGCACCCCATGCCTCTCCCGGAACCGCCGCCGGAACACCGGATCCGAAAACCCCAGCTCGACGCCGATCTTGTCCGCCCTCAGAAACGGGTTATATCCGTTATTCAGATCCGACGGCCGCCAGCCAAGGATGTACGTGTCGAGCGTGACGACCAGCACGCGGTATCCCGCGCGCTTCGCCCTCTCCAGCAGACTCACCGTAATCTCATTATGCTCGCTCGGCGGCCAGTAAAGCTGGTACCACCGCGCCCCGTCCCCGCTTGCCGCCGCTACATCCTCTATACTCGTTGACGAGGCCGTGCTCAGGATGTACGGGACGTGCTGCGCGCTTGCTGCCTTTGCAGCAGCAACCTCCCCGTCGCGGTGGAAGATGCGCTGCACGCCGATGGGCGCCATGGCGATGGGGTAGTCGTATTCCTGGCCCAGGACTGTGGTTTTTAGGGATGGGAAGTCGGCGCTGACGAGCCGCGAGGGGATAAGCGCCCATCTGCGGAAGGCGTCGCGGTTGTTGGTGTCTGTTTCGCGGAGGCCGGCGGAGCCCCAGATGTAGCTGTAGCTGTCGGCGGAGAGGAGGTCCCGGGCGTGGGTTTCCCAGTCGTGGGGGTTGAAGCTGATGGCCGGTTTGATGTTTTGGAGGCCGTTGGCGTAGACTTCGTTGCCGTAGGTGTGGGGGGCATTTGCCATGGCGTCTCTACCTTGGTATTTTGAAGTAGTATTGCAGGGTTGATGTATTTATATTGCATGGAACTACGTCATTGCTCTAGATAAGTCTCGCAGGGAAGACTGGTACTGTGACGATGTCAGACAGCCCCGCACAAGTTTGTCCTGGCTTGACACAATCAAGAATTGAACAACTGTATTACAGATGATAATCAATTGATATGGTCTGTAACTGTAATGGATAACAATTGCCCTGGTTGTTGCTGCCGACCAAGCCGGACGGATCGGGCTGACCCACGGCATGATGCAATAATGGGTACGTCCTCTACCAAGAGCTGACTCGCATGAAAGTTGATTCCGTGGCTATCGGTATGACTTATTTGACTGTTGTTGAAATTGGATAATCAGAATTTGATTCTTTGTTTATTAGAGAGCATGCCTAACTGTTGGTCGAGATATATCCTAGTCCTGGCCTATTGCTTCAAGTGAAGAATGTAGTAGTTGTGCAGACAGGTAGAGATGAGTATAGTCAGGGAACAAAGACATGGACCTCCTAGGTGTCTTCTAGCTTTGATAGCACATATCCGTTGATAAAATGCTTCTTAATGTTTTCAACAAGTGCCTATATGAACTTAAGTACCTACTAATAGTTCCACCCTGTCAAATCTACTTGGGGCTAAAACCCCCCACCACTTTTCTTCATTTTTAACCATATTTTCTCACTTCAGCCAACATCGAGTAGAGACAAACCACGCGCACGGATATGGCGGACACCAATAGCGCAACGGGAACAAGCATGCCAGATGAACTCCCCCTGGTAACTGCCTGCTTAACCGCAACGTCTCCCCGGATGAGCCTTACTTCGATCCGCCGCTTATCGTGGCTATCCAACACCAGCACTTGGACATTATCCAGCTACTCTACGAGCATAATGGCCGCAGCGTGGTGCATTATTTGTGTTATTATCTCAGGGCGACAGAGCCTGTGCGCGAGATGTTGGTAGAGATGGGAGTCTACAAGGAGGATTTGGAAGGCGAGTTGGAGTTAAAGGTGGCTGCTGGACTTATGAAGGATTGGATATACCGGAATCGGTCATTACTACCTTGAGACATTCACAATATTTGAATGGTCGCCAAGAGACTCCGGAGAAATCATCGATTTGGATGGAATACATCAGTTGTCGTTCAGTGTCGGTAGACAGTAGGAGTTTAGGGGAAGACTTCCACTCAATCGAATGGCTTTCCAAACACTCGCATCCCACAACCATCAGGCATACTTCTCCTACCATAGATCCTCCAACATCAAAACGGATTCTCTGGGATTGATTCTCTGCTGCACGGCCTCTATCGCAGGCTATATCAATATATCTAAGGATTCCAGTCCGTTTATCCTTAGTAGAGCGAGGCCGAATGAGCGTGGCGGTAATGGTGGCGGTACCATCTCTGGGGCTGGAACAGATACTCAGCCAAAAGCTGTGTGCTCTCAAGCTCCTGCCATGCGCGGTATTGCCTCAGAGCGGTCCCAATGAGGAGCAAATACATCACTCGACGCTTCTCAGTCCATCCGGCAGGAGGCAGGATAAGAGAGCGGCCATGGCGGCTGACAATTCCGCTGGCGACAGGCATTGGAGACCGGCCGTTCGTGATGGAGCCACGCCTAGCGATGATCTCGGATACAACTATTTGGCTGTTCAGAAAGATCCACGTTTTGCTCCCTAGGTGCACGGTGGTCATTTCGCCGTACTCGACGCTCTCCCATCGGAGTAAAGATCTGACGGATTACAAGAAATTATGGTGGTCAGGCAGAGAAAGACGGCGAGCAATATTGCCTGAACGGGATGAGCTGATGCCTCTCGAACGAGGATAGTGTGTATTGGGACATCCATCCTGATGTGTCTTTTGGAGGACCCAAGTATGACAATCTGTGGCTCCCGAGGAGTCAGTCGGGAAAGTCGCTGAGTGAGCTTGATATTGGCCTTGGAAGCAAAGCCGACTCTGGACCACGCTCGCTCGTTTTCGTCTGCGCGCTGAACATTATCTTTGCGCTTGGCTGCTACTTTGCCGGCGGTATCCCGGTAACGGAGCGTGAGGCAGTTTCCTATACCTTCTTCCTACGGGCAAAACAGCATATTGGATTGGATATGATGGACGTTCGGACTATCGGCGTCGTACAGACGCTGCTGGTCGTCGCGCTATATTTGCAGAGTACGCCGTATCCGCACCGATGCTGGAACTCGATAGGGGTCGCTTGTCAAATTGCCCAGGGGATAGGACTTCATGAGGCGCAGCTGTACGAGCAAAAGAGTCCGCTGGAGCAGGAGATTCAGCGGCGAACATGGCATGGCTGCGTGATGATGGACATGTATGCCTTTCCATCGATAGCAGCCTAAGACTTGACTGATCAGTTTGTAGGATCGTGAGTATGACTTATGGTAGACCGAGTATGACCTCGCACCTCCCGAGTGTTCCCTTACCAGGAACCGAAGAGGAAGAACACTCTTCTGGAACCCCATCACCGATGGCCTTCTACATCTCCACCATTGAGCTATACCGCATTCTCGACAGTATCCTGTCCGACATCTACCGAGCATGGCGCGGTCGCAGCAGCCCTGGGTCTAGAAGACACACAACCAAACAGGGCGGGCTGGACGTCATCATCGAACTTGAAGAGAAACTCTTCGAGTACGAAAACAGCCTTCCCCCTTTCCTCAATTGGAACCGTCCATCAGATCAAGCTACCAATCCCGAACAAACTACTCTCCATCGACAGCGAAACGTCCTCCACGCTAGATACCTATACCTTCGCCTCCTCCTCTACCGACCCATCCTGACCCAACTCTGCTCCGAGTGTACCCACCCGCGAACTCAAGCAGACAACCGCCCCAGCTCGAGCTCCAATTCCAGCACCCTATATACCTCCATCCTCTCCAAGTGTGCCGCCGCCTGCGTCCGCGCAGCCATTGACCTCGTCTCCTTCGTCCACGAAACCTATCACACGTCCGCCACCGACCCATGGTGGTATAATGGCTTCTGTACACTATTCCTTCCTTACAATCTGGTTAGGTATATATCTGATAAAACCGAACAGATACGTCCACATCAGGCATGGTCCTCATCATGTCCTCCTCCTGCCGCACGATCCTGGCCGAGCTCGACGCAAGTCTCGTACACGAAGCCTGGTCCACATGCGAGCAGATCCTCACGTCCATGAGTTCCTTTAGCGTGTCTGCGCGCAACATCCTGCTCTTCCTCAGGACGGCACGGACTCAGGTCATGGCGGAGAATGGCGGTCATGTAGATAGCGATCGCAATCAGGCCCGACAGGAACAGGGACTGGGGCAGTTGCACCCGCAGGAGAACCCGTTTACCCTGCTTTCTTATTACTTTAAGAGAGTGTGAAAGTAATGGTTATCTCTTGAATTTCTCAAGAATCACTCTTATGGATTTAGGTCCTATAATACCTAGTTAACAGACTACCTACTCTGCCTGGTAAATTTATTTTCCATCATAGCATACATCAGGCTGAAAGCCTGCTGCAGTAATAGTCTCTATTAGATTTAGATTCTCAAACCCTAGTCACTAAAAACTGCTTCTCTGAACTACTTCTCTTAAGTGTATACCTAATTACCAGAGTCCTTTTAAGTACAGTACATATGCCCTCTATTACAGATCAGTAGTCTCCTAACTAATACCTATATAGTCTCTGCCTCCATCATAACTTCTATATCCAACATAACCAATCCCATGGACACAATCAAATGTTGCACCTGCAGACAGGAGAAGAGCTTTGTCCATACAGACTGTGGCACTTATTATTCCTGTTGCAATTGCTCCAAGAAAAGGGAGTGAATGATCGGAGACGGGAGACGAATAGTTGCAAGGGTATTTTTGAACCGTCACTGAAGCTGCTTGACCGGCAACCAGTCATAAGGATCCTCCTGAATAATGACTTCGCGGGCTCTCATGTAACAGTTTACGAAATCCACCGCAGCGCATAAGGGATGGGAGAGACCAAGTAGCAGGAATTATACATATGCATAAGATTCCGGTTCTGAAATCCATTTCATATTTGCGATGGTTTGTGATCCACCATCCCTAGATATAAGGTTCTGCGAACTCAGACTCTTGCGAATCCAGAGGTTGCTGGCGTCTACAATACAAATGTAATCCTTTCAATGCAGAGCATATTTCAACGTCATCAGAATGGCTTGGAAGGCTATAGTCATCATAATCAAGCCACATTTGCCTTGTTCTCGGAGATTCAGCATCTGCCAATGGTTTTCTGTGAAGTGCCATGGTTAGACAGATTCGACGATCGATAAAAGCGAACTTACTCATTGCCATTGAAGACTTCAAAGCCGGTGGAAATAATGAGCACGGGCCGAGCAAGATCGGCGATAATCTGCTTGACTGGGGCGGCAACAAAGGGTGATATTATAATCGATTCCTCGTCGATTTCTGCAAATCCTCCTGCACCGTGAGTTCCAACAATTTTGAATTCCTTCTTGGTCAGGATCTCTTCTGCTACCTCTGTATACTCTGGGTCCTGAGCAAGTAATGGCAATGTTTCATTGCCACAACAAAGTTGAGCGATAGTGAGAGCCATCGAATGCTGGATCATGCAGCCCATCACATTTTTCACCTCCGAGTTCTGATCCCAAGAGTCGTGCTGCTTTTTTAGCCATTCAGGAGCGGAGCGGCAAAAATCACCGAGCCCAAAGCAGAGAACTTTCTTCACAGTGTTTGTACCGAGTACAGCTTGGACCAAGGCTGCCAAGTGCTTGCAGGTCTTGCTATTCTGCCACAACAAGTGTTTCTCGTCAAAGACTTGCATAGGCTGTGCTATAAGCTCTCGGAAGTTTCGTGCAGTCTGATTGCTCCAATCCACAATATAAGAGCATAGGTAAGTTTCGATTGGGCCGTTGGGTTGTGCCTTCACAAGTTGCCAATATTCTTGGTACTTGACATGGGGTTTCCTAAGGAAAACTTAGATTGCAGGCTGAAATTGGGTCAGAATACCATACCCACGTACCAGATAGGAGTCTGTACTTGGAACATAGGATTGGAAATTTGGATTATGCTTCCATCGATTCGACGGACTGAAAATCGCTCCATCGCATAGGATTGGCGCAATTGTTGTTCTATGTCTTCGAGATCCTCTTTCGTCCAAAGCCTGGTACCAGAACTGTACAGATCTGCGGCTCTCTGGCTACTGATCCGCCAATCCGTGCACCCGTAGTCGAGCGGTCGTAGAGTTTGTGGCATGGTCTCGTAGCTGCTGGTCGAGCAAGGGTGAGGAATAAACCATGTGGTGAGTTGCCGGGAGGAAAAAGCCCAAGATTGTTTGGAAAAGGGGAGAAGTTTATTTGTGTACAAGGGTCAGAAAAGAAAAGGCTAGGACTGAGCTGTGATACTCGATAATTGTCTGCTTTTGTGTATGGGTACCAATGTCGGATATAGTGGCAACGTTTGCTTTGAGGGATCAAGAAAAATTCGACCACCTTGGAAGCTCTGCTGCTGACTATCTGTGACTATGGCTCACCCTCAACGCGGAGCGTTGAGGGTGAGCCACACTGGAACCACCATGTACCTTTTATATAGTATCACCATATAAAAGGTACATACTCAGTACATACTTCCTAAGTCTAATATCTTAGGTATTTACTAGGGGCAACTATAATTTTAAATTTTAATAGTAATATTAGATTTAAAGAGGGAATATCTTCTAATTAAGAGCCCTTTTTCAAGAGTTTTAAGTAAAAATTAGAGATATAAGAATATATAAAGTTTCTCTTATATAAAACTCTTTCTTAGGGAAAAAAATAAAGAGATATTATTTTATCTTAAACACCTATAATTTTCCTTTCTAATAATAAAGATAGTAATAAAAGATAGACACTTATATTTCTAAATAATAATAAACTAGAAAAACCAAATATGTATATACCTAGAGTGAATAATATGTATGTACCTTTTATATAGTGATGCCATATAAAAGGTACATGGTGGTTTTGCTGTGGTTGGTGGTTCCGGTGTGCTTGCAGCTTGACACAGATATGGAGGTGTGCACCAAAAGTATTGACTGCCACTAGTAACTTAGTAAGCTTGGCTGTATCCTGCTGACGCAGCCCCCTAGTAATTTGTATGGTAACACATCTAGAAGGAAAAATATTCAAATGAATCTATCTATAATAGTGATATGAAGCTATTCAAATGTCTTCCTAGTCTAGATCTTTATAATTAGATAGCTATCCCTTAATCTATCTTCCTGACTGGTTATACTTAGGCCTATCTCACCCCTCTTGGTATTCATTCCTTCCTTATAGCTTGATAACCTCCTGGATATGGCAAATAAGGCATTAAATCTATTATTAAATCTTTTCCTGTGGAAGCTCATTCGCTGAATCACTGCAAATCCAATCAGAATGAACTCACGTCCACGTGGTGCTTCTAGAATTCATTCCATGAACACAGCAAAGGGAAGGCTTGTAGTGGGCAGGTAGTACTGCAAGGAACGTTGGTAATCCTCGCGCTGTCATTGGCAGAATCCTCTTCAGCAGAGGACGGGATATCTGCCCACGACTTTCCCGTTGAGGAAGGCGCCGGTCGATCATTCCGTCGTCAATCCTGCATAAGCTCGGCCAAGCTTTACCTCAGCCTAGAGATGAGGATATCGGAATCTCGTCCATTGTTACCACCAATAAATGCCTCTAGATTCGTCAGATGGGCAAAGCAGGGCCTCTGGGTATTGTGTCCTGTTTGGGGGTTCCTCCATGACTGGTACTCGTCTCTGCAAGTGAGCGAGTCATCTTGTTCGCCACCATGATCTTTACTTGATTCATCATGTCAGGTAACAAGGGGCATTCTACATTGTAATTTCGGATCGTAGCAGTATAAATTTCCCTTGGTCCCTTAATGTAGCACTCCAGCGATCACGACCTGGATGACTTTGTTGTACCTGTGAAGGGAGCCAATCAGAGCTTCTTACGACCTTATTTTCTGCTCTGACATTGGAAGGGCCTTCGCCATGCTTTCCTCCGATGATGTGGATTTTTCCAATGTCACCGACGCCTCGAACTTTCTCGGTGATCTCCTCGATGACACTGACTATCAAGTGGATGGCAATGCCAGAGCCAGATACTTCTGGTATGGTATCGCTGCCCTAATCGCGGTGACTGCAATCGGCAACCTCGCTTGGCGGCTCGACTTGAGGTCAAGGTAAGGCCTCTCCCTCATAGTTACCCGAATCGTTTGGAAATTTAACAAGAGACATACAGGAAGTACCGAAGCCCATGCAGTGATGGTACTTCTCCTGGAATCTTCGATCGAGCCACGGCGGCTGCTATGAGATTATTACGACGGGCGACATACCTCCAAATAACTCCGACTCGCAACGCATTCTGGCTCAAAATTCCACCCCTCGGTATTGTCTACTTGATCTTGGCCTATATCCTCTTTATTTTGCTTCTTGAATTTGTGGATGATCTCGGTGTTACCGACCCTACATGGTGGACTCTCGTCGGCGTCCGCGCAGCATGGCTTGCTATGGCTCAGCTTCCGCTGATTGTCCTGCTTGTCGGCAAGCACAGTCTCATTAGTCTCTTGACTGGTGTTTCGTATGAGAGACTCAACGTCTTCCACCGCTGGGTTGCACGTGGTATGTTCCTTCTGCTCACGCTTCACGCTGGCTTCCTAGGAACGGCATGGAATCGTTACCCAGGCCTGCAATCGCTCGAGTGGGAGACGGATGAAGCTTTCCGCACCGGTGTTGCAGCCTATGCGATTGTGTTCTGGATGATCATCTCAGCGCTCGCTCCTCTACGACACCTATCATGGGAATTCTTCGTCGTTCAGCACATCATCACCTTCTTGGGGCTTATCATTGCGATTGGAATGCATATTCCTGGCAGTGCCAAGTACGCGCGCGTCTGGATCTATGTTGCGGTCGCTCTGTACCTGGTCGAGCGTTTGGTCTACTTTGTTCGTTTGACTTTCACCAACTCCGGCCGCAGCAGGGTTGCTCTCGAACCTCTGGAGGGAGACGTCACCAAGATGCGTGTGACAAATCCCCGTATCAGATCATGGGCACCGGGGTCACACGTCATGGTTGGAATTCCGCGTTTCGGGTTCATTCAGTCGCATCCTGCCACTATCATGTCCATTCCAAGCTCTCACAATGGAGAGATGGTCTTGTTGCTCCGAGCCTACAAGGGCTTCACCAAGCGCATCTACGAGAACGAGCACGGAAAGCTCAAGGAGTCTGGGGACGGATCAAGTCAAGAACGACAGCCCAGAAGCGATATGAAACAATATGCTGCTGTGATCAATGGACCTTACGGCGCTTCCCATGCTGAGTTTGTGTCTTTTGAGAATGTCATTCTCATTGCCGGTGCCACGGGAGTAACTTTCACACTCTCCATCTTGCTTGACCTCGCTCACCGAGCTGCCCTCGCAGCTGAAAAGGGCGATAAGCCGTACCCTGTGCGCAAGCTCATATTTGTTTGGTTGATTCGCAAAGCCGTTTGCGTCGAATGGATCTCAGAAGAGCTGCGTCAAGCAGCAAGCGATCTCGAAAAAGCGGGCATATCGTTCGAATTGCAAGTATATGTGACGAGATCCGACAGCGAAGAAGCAACTCTAAGCAATAGTCCTGCCTTGGCTCCTCTGGATTCCACCAAAGAGGCGACTGAGAAACACTATGTGTCGAACACGTATCACAGTATTCCTGGGCTGTCTTTGGATTCTGGACGTCCTACATGGAAGGACCTTTTGCACGGAGTTCTGTCCGAAGCTCAAGGCGAGAGTGGTGTCGGTGTTTGTGGTCCTTTGAGTCTGTCAGTCGAGGTTCGAAAGGAGGTCGTCTCATTGAGTGCCGACCGAGCTCGGCGTATCTACATGCATGTCGAAAGCTTCTCTTAGGAAAGGCACTTTGATTTGATGTATATAATGAAAACAGGTGATGTCTTTTCCCTGCTGGTATTGATTCCATGCATTAAGCCAAGAAACCTATTTGGTGATTTAACTAATATAAGCTGCTGCATAATTGATATTGAAGCTTATTCAGAGTTTCATTCTTTACTTTTTTCTTAGTGAAAAGCTGATCAACTGTAAGTCTATCAGGTGTGCAATGATATCTAGTAGTCATTATTATTCTTATATAGTTAGTTAGACCTTACATTCCTTCTTAGTCTAGGTCAAAATATAAAAGAAGACTGGAATCCCTCAAAGTTGGCAGGACATGTATGACTGCCGGAACTTAGGCGGCAAAGCAGCGAGGGAACAGATGCTAGGAGGGGTAACCACTAATATATATATGCTATTGTATGTTTTTGATGCACTTTTTTACTTCATTAATGCCATTGCTGCCTGATGCTTTAGAGAATATATTGCATTAATCTGGGCATTAGACCACTAAAGGATTGTGCTGCAGCTGCCAAGGGATGAGTGCCTGCAAGGGGAGATCAGCGCAGTGAGCAGGGATAACATGCTATGTAAACACTAGACTACAAGGTAGACAAAACAATACGGAAAGCCTGATCCAGCGTCCAACCCAGCGCAGCCATAACCATCCACTATAAAGTGGAGTCTTCTTTAGACCGACAAACCTAACAAGAATCAGCCATGCTCAACTCACAGACGACAAAGCACTCACCCCTAGATCTGGACTGATGTATACACATTCCAGTCCAGGGCAGCACACTCCAATGAGACCAGCAATTGTAGCACAGGTCTCCCCTTCCGGATGGCACGCATACTCACCCAGAGGACTTGGTGCAGCCAGAGCCATAGCAGTGAGGGAGGCAAGCAGGTAAATGAACTTCATTCTGTCAGAATTGTCAGTATCTGCTGAAACATAAAGAGAACGCGACCTACTCAAGAGTAATAGTGAAGAATGCTGATCAGGATCAGAAAGTTGGACGGGAGAGCTGGCCTTTATACCTGTCAACTGCGGCTAGCTAGGCAAACATGCAATGCATGCATTCCAGCTGTACCTAGTGATACGAGCAAGTCGTATTCTATTCGCCGGATAATTGCATCTGTTTACGTGTTGCATTCCGAAGCGAAGGATAAAGACATGAATACAAGGGATATTTGACATTGCTTAGCATGGCACCGGACTTTTATTGCCAGGATGCATTGATGGTGATCAATGGTCGATAACCAGAAACATAAGGGAAATGCTCCTATTCTTATACCTTTGATTCTACGAGTTAGGGTGATCTTATCTGACTATATAGTGAATTAAACCTTATCTGGCTGCTCTATCATAGCTTTTGATAGATAGTTCATACAAAAAGAATTAAAAGGAAAAAAGAAATGGACTCGCCGGGAATCGAACCCGGGACCTCTCCAAGAACCATTGCGTATGCGAATGGAGCGTTATACCCCTAAACCACAAGCCCTTCTTATTGGTATCTACTCAATATTTATAAAATATATAGCACGTTAGCATACAAAAGTACCAGCCTGAATGCATCGTGGCGAAGGTTGTCTGAGATACTTGAACTCGGGATGTCAGGTATGCTACTGCTGTCTGTTGCTGACACTGTGTCGGGAAGTTCATGGGAATCGAAATCGAGACCTGCAAGGATGGAAGCAAGGGGTAGAATACTGATTTAGAACCATGTCAGCTAAGAGCAATTAGATCAATGTGTAACATTGCTTCAGATGGACTGGTCAATGGAGGTAGATTCACATCATACGGAGTAGATAGAAGCAAAAGATTTGTTGATTATGGCCTGATATACCAATTCTTTATCTAATCAGCGTACCATGGATTACCAATGGTCAATCAGTCCAAAGTGACTAAAATTTGAATGTATTGATTATACATATATACTACACTCCATATGAATGATTTCCTAGGTATACATCATATCTCGTAAATGACAACACAAAACTTCAATTTGGGGTGGTGAGGAAAGACGAGCACCACTACTGCGGCAACTCCTCAATCCTCACCATCAATCCAGGAGGAACCTCTACCTCGTAAAGTTCCTCGACAGTCATATCGTCGGGTGCTTCAACGCTGTGAATAATCAGTATGGCTGTAGAAAGGGGTCTGAGAGGACGAGGCCTACGTCAAGTACTGCACCGGGGGGGAGGTGTCGCTGTGTTCAAAGGTATCAGGGAAGATGAGGTCTTCGCCTTCGTAGATTTCACGGAGACTGTTTGAATGTCAGTATGAAGCTAGAAAGTGATGATGAGCTAACGCACTGTTCTGCGAGCGTTTTGCCGTCACCGAAGCGGGCGTGGGCTTGTTCATTGGAGAAGTAGACGTCGAAGCTCTACAGACGGTTAGCGAGGTCCATACTCGACGATTGTGTCTGACTGACAAGGTCCTTGGTCATTGTGGCGGTTGGTGGATGCAGCAGAAGGAATTGATTGTTCTCTAGCTAATGAAGTGAGAGATGCGACCGCAGGAACGCCTTTTATACCTGTCTTTCAACCCCGCAAAAGATGATGGATGACAGACATGCAATGGTCACTGCGTCTGGGGATGATCCGGATAAATCGTTTGATGGCACGCAATCAGACGGTTGAGCGATACTCTGTATATGGAGTTGATTGGATGTGAGCTTCAGTGGTGAGATCATGGATACTTCATGATGCCTTGTATTGGTCAGTGGACAGTGATTTGCTTTGCGGGGAAGGACTGAGTTGGTGATGATCCACGGGTGGCCTGACCGATGACCCTGAGTGGTGAGATAATGGGCAGATCTGGGGTAACAGTTGATGTATCAGGATATCTTTAATCAATTGACTTTCTCAGATAAGCCATTCTCATCGTTGCATGAGGTGCAGTAACATAATTAGTTGTAGATGATCAGCCTCCTGGCAAGCTAAGGTAAACTCACCAAGGTATGATCACACTACATGATCTGGTAACTTGTTTGTATTATCCACCAGACTACTCTATCATTTTATACTGTCTTATTTATCCGAATTCTAGCTTAATTATGCTTATTCATGCCATAAGTGGAATAATAGATACAACTTACCCAAGTGCACTCAGCATGACCATGTCAAGCAATGATGATTACCCAATCAGATCCAATCATTCAGTCTTATGAAATAGACAATCTATCCATCTATCTAGGTAGTCGGTTCAGCTGAATTAAAATTCAATAGTCAGTGGGTCTTACTCTCATTGCTTGAGCAATTAAAAAGGCCGCCAAGAATCGTAACACAGAAAAAGCAATAACGCAACATCAAACACTTCATCATGCAGCAGCCAACAGAGCTGACTGCAATGTCCGTCTTAAATCGACAGATATCCCATTTCTACTTCCCCTCCTCATAAAAGTCATCAATGGATCTCAACTCGCTATCTGCATGGAGCATCCCGCTCGCACAATGGCTACTCGTCCAGCTCCTGACAGGATGGACAATCGCGTTCACACCGCCATACTCCAAAGTTAGACCGGCGATCACGGTGATTGTCATCGCACTCGCCTACTCCTTCCAGACTCAGGTCCGGCAAACCTTCGCCGAGACTCGTGCGCGTGGACCATTAGCGGCCATGTGCTGGGTGAATGTGCTCAATGCGATCGACCTGTTGATGCTGAGTCGGGTCTCGTTCGACCAGCAGATCGCCTGGAAAAAGAAACTCAATCAAGGAAAGACTTTGAACAAAAACAGCCATTGGAGGAGACTCGTCTGGTCTGTCGAAATGGCCTTCAACTACCGTCGCGTCAATACCCCGTGGCAGATCCGCGCTGTACCCGCGTTCGACAAGCACGACCCCGGATACGTCCCGGACAAGTGGGACTACTTGCGTCGGTGTGCGGTCAAAGTATGCGGCTCGCTGCTTGTGTTGCATTTCTGCACTATCGATGCAGGGGATGCGCATCTCGCGGGTATGATTTCCGAGATTTCAGACTCTAAGAAGGTGCTACTGCCTACTTGGGAGGAATGGACGGCGCGTCGCGTGATTGTCCAAACGCTATTCGCCATCTCTTTTGGATTTGTCATTCGAGCGGCTATCCTGGGAATGTATAACCTCCTCGCCATGTTCTTCGTCGCGCTGGGGGCGTACGAGCCCGTCGAGTGGCCGCCGATCTTCGGCTCGTTGGGTGATATGTACTCGTTGACGCGGGTCTGGGGGTGAGTGTTCATTTTTCCGGTATGACTAGACTAACAGAAGTAGAATCGCGTGGCATCAGATCCTGCGCAAGCTGGTCACATCCAACGCGGATTTCCTGCTTTTCGACGTCCTGCGGCTCCCGCAGGGGATTGTCGCCAGGACTCTCCGGCTGATCATGGCGTTTGCCACGTCGGGATTGGTCCACTTCCTCATGGATCTGGGCTTCGGGGTATCACTGGACCAGAGCGGAGCGCTGTGGTTCTTCTGTCTGCAGATTCCGGGCATTGTGGTGGAAGATTTGGTGTGGTGGACTTGCCACGGGATGATCAAGGGGATGAGTTACCGTTGGAGAATGGCTATCGGATATGTCTGGGTAGGCCTTTTCTTTCTATGGGCGGCCCCCGTCTGGCTGAACCCGATTATCCTGCGGTTATACCAGGATGGTCAGAGAATACCGTCTCCGTTTTTGGTGTTCAGGGGAGTCTTATTTTCATGAATGGTAACGTCGGTACGCGGTCTCGGATACCACTTCTCTTTGCTTTGACGCAGCATGCCTCTACACTGAAGATCGTTGGTTCTATAGACATCGCATCACCAGTGTCAATGGCAATAGATAGATATACAACGTTCCACGGTCGTGAATTAGTTGATGACAACAGCCAGATACTTGTATACGACCCGCGAGTAAATGACTCGGCATCGGTTGACCTCTCAAGTTCAGTCACTGCTTTTCCATGAATCCAGTGGTACCAAATCGAACGAGACCATGATCGCTTACAGTCCTAGAACTAATTTCCACAGATCAAGTCAGCTCTACGATGTAGTGGTATCACAGACTACTCGTTCTTCGAGCAGGGACAAGACGATCTACTCTGCTGGTCCGATTGGACCAGGCTCAATACAGTCACCTTTAATTAGAAGGTCAGAGGTTTAAAAGGTCGTCTGAGTTAATCTGTGCGGTTCCAGTCCCACTTCGGTTTGGCTTGGTTCAGTGACACTTAAAGGAGCTGGATGACAGTAGATGCACCTAGGATTCTCAAGTAGGTATATTGGGAAGATGGCTATACCAGGAGCAGAGGTATCACATAATGATTGTGCGCGTGCAAGTGACTCATTGACAGTTCAAATCCAAGATGGAAAGAAAGGTCCAGAGTACGGGCTACGGACAGAGTGAAAACTTTAATCGAGATCAGTCTAGAATAGCCTCTAGGGTTGAGTCTGAATCGGAATGAACCGTTGCTGATCATGTCCACTCAAGCTGTAGTGTCAAGTGTGTGCACAAGCCAAAGCTGTGATGACCAGAAAACTTGTCTTCTGCAAATCATATGACAGCCGGCGAGACCTTATTGCTGCCATGTTGAATGCATCAGTATCATCAGGCTCAGCCTCAGCCTCATGATACAGGCGTCAATGCAGGGAAACGGCGCAAGGCTGCACAGGGCCTGATAAAGGAACATAAATTCGGAAAGCGATACGAGGAGCAACACACTAAATTTTAGCTCTGCCCAGAGCTGAAGGGGAAATCCTCCCTAAAAAGGAAAACAAGGAAGAAGGTTGAGGCTATCCGATCATTAGTCCCGTCCGTTCCAAAGGTCCATCGACTCCCATACGAACCCATCTCCACTCATCTCCATTATCATTTATCACCATGTTTAACTCTACCAAGGCTGAATCCTGTCAGGCTGGAATCACGCAAATCAGACACCACCAGAGTCCAGTCCCTATTCCTACCCGCTTCTGATCTGTCGATCTGCGGAATACGAGCAGTCGCTTCCTGTGGCGCTTCGTCTCTGACCAGTCAACAACGGCGAGACACTTTTCTTCCAGCCTGATTGGAAGGCTAAGCGAGAGGAATGATCCTGCGACACGAGCTTTAGCTCAAGCGATAGTCATGGGCTTGGGTTGAAGGCTATTAAATACAGCCTGTGCCGCCGCAACTGCACGCCTACCTCTCAGTCAAAATCACAAAAGACCAGAGCAGCTAGTTCGCAGATACCAAAATGCGCCTCCCGGCCATCGTCCCCCTCGCCCTCCTGGGCACCTCCTTCGTCTTCGCCGTCATCGAGCTCGGCCTCGGCGGCCACGTCGCCTCCCTCTATACCGGCACCCGCAAAACCCTCGTCTACGACCCCAACAGTGCCTGGGGCTACTCCTACAAGACCGTCACGTTCTCCGTCCCCGCCATCCTCGCTTTCCAGATCTTCACCGCCGTCTGGACCATGCTCGTCTCTGTCGCCGCGTTCCTTCTTCCCTGGTTCTTGCGCGCCAAGGCCGCCCCCGGAACACGACTCAACACGATCATCACGGGCGCGCTGGGCGGAGTCTACTTTGTGACGATGGTGTTCTGGCTCGCATGCTTTGCGGACATCGCGGCCGAGCTGGACGGGTTGGGCACTTCCTCCAATTACTTTAATGCGGTGATGGCGTTTGCGGTGCTCTTGTGGTAGGTTTATTTTTCACATCCGTTTAATCACCCCCGACGTGGCTAATGCGACTGGGCAGGCTGCTCTTCGTCGCGCTCTTCGTCATCGTTGTTCTTGCCATGCTTGGGATTCTGGAGAGTGACGCCCCCGGGTACGCAGGCATGAGGAAGAGGGAGAGGGCTGCGACCGAGGGAACCCAGATGCAGACAGTCGAGGTTGCATAGGTATGATGTTGATGTCCCTGGAGAGCGGCGGTGGATTAAGTTCAGATAATCCAGCTTGCTTGTCACCGGGAGTTGAGAGAAAAGTGTATGCGACGGGGATGATGTCGACGGATGATACCACCATATACCCATCCTTAATCTAATAATTCTGATATCCAATCAATATTTCTTGCACTCATGGGCATATGCATCCTCATTGTCAATGATTAAGCTTCTGCTCAAGCTACTGTTTCGCACTGTGCCACAGAATGTGCCACGCATTGCGTTTAACCTGGGGGCAACGCATATCTTTCAAAGACTAACGAGGATGTTACCGGGCAGATTCGGGAGATTTGCTGCCGAACGGGAGCAGCCCGCCCTGGAATCCACGGGGGTTCCGCCCGTGATATAAATGCTGGGCTCCTTGGAACTCGGGGGAGGGCGCCGCAGTAGGGACTCCGCCTCCAGGAACGAGATGTGAGATCGAGATTCTTCACTCAGGAACCCTAGGCCAGGAGTACGTGTGCCGTGCCATGGGGGATGCGATTCAGCACAGGCTTGTTCTTTGTTTCTGTCAGGAATATAGCTGATACAGACGTTTTCCAGCAAGATGTTCCCTTTCGTGATCGAGTAGCCTCCCGGTTTCGGTGCGGCGTACTGATGTGGTGCCTTCTCTTCTCACCTCCGACAATTTCGATAGGATCGGATGAGAATGAGAAGATCAGTGCTTGATATCAACGTATCGAGTCATTGCGCTGAGCCAGAATGTACTATCAGACCCAGTGAATCGTAAGACGCGACAAACATAGCCCTCATCCGTGATTGTTGTTCGATATCCCGACCGCCATAACGATCGAGAGTATGAAGATCACCAGATTCACCTGTTCCATTAGCCGACTTTCGCCACGCGGAAGGAAGCATACCTACCAGACCAATAAAAATCCCTATCCAATTTAGATCCCAACCCCCTGCATAGACCTTCCCATGAGCTACAGCGCTCTGCTGTCTCCAAAACCGATACGCTCCCATCAGGGCGATCAGAATGGCAATCACATGACAGGTAACTGCAAGAGGTATCCCAACTCTATAGTAACTCAGGCGAGCATGGTCAGCGGTCGTGCTCTGCAGACGGAACAGCTGAGCGATCAACACACCCTGCATGGCAACGGTGATCGAGGTACGGATATACGCCAAGAACGTTCGTTCCAGCGCTAGAAGATGTTAGCTTTTGAATTGCTTTTTGCGCTTGCTTAATGCCACTCCTCCGATCGGACTCCATAGGCGGAGAATGAATGGTTTTTGGAAAATAAACTCGATCCAATTCCATAACTCAAAAATAAGCATACGTACCATAATGGTCACGGTTGCTCTTTTGTGGGACCGTCAAAGTAACATTATTTGCCCAGAATCGTTGGATGCAGCCCAAGACCCCCTTGCGTGGCTGCCGACTGGAGCTGCTCCGGGATACAGTGCGACGAGTAGTGACTCGGAATTCCCCCGAGGATATCGATCCCGAGGAGAGATCATCCCGCTGGTCATCCTGAGTCGGAATTTGTTGGAGTTCGAACCAATCTCTCTCGTCTATGCCACGGCCGGACAGTGGCGAGGCCTCACTCTCGGTCGGCGACTGCAATCTGGATTGGTGAGTGCCGGAAACGGAGGAGCTCGAGGACGAGGGTGCAGCGGAGAGCTCAGCGGCAGGCGCATGCTCGGCAGAAGGGTTTGCCATGATTGTCACGGAGGATGAAGAGGCTTATGCGATGTTGTCATTGCGGGCTTGGATGATGCGATGGGAGATGAGGATGAGTGGTGGATTGTGTCTGGGGTAAAGAGCGAGCTAAGTACGAGGCCCATCTCTGTTTTGGGTCGGCGAATCCGGCCGGTTCAGGCAATAAGGCACTTCCCTGAATCGCCGACCCATTTTAGTTCCCAGTTCTTACAATTAACTTTGCAGATGATGTCAAGTGTTTCTCTGATCATATCAGGGTTTGTACAATATGCGGTGTAGATACTCTACAGTCATGTCCACGAGTAATTGCAGGAATGCTACCAATGACAGGTCAAGCCACGGTCATCCTCCTTGCAAACACACATGGAATTGCCCTGACACATTCAACTGGCCTGAACAAATTGTCCGAACCTGCCCTGGTCCATATCCCTTTTTAACTACTGCAGGAAATGCCATTGTTTTATGGTCATGTTGCGGTCGCGGAATACGTTCCGTCTCCGGAAACGGAAAATTCTTGAAAAACTGTTTTTTGCTATTGTACGTGTGGACATAGGAGACAGTACAAGAGCTAAAAATAAAAAGACGACGATGGAAATAATACTCCGTGCAAATATAGACAAGATCAAATATACAGAGTAGATAGGTCAAAAAAAAGGTGGATGAAGGAAAAAGAAATCTCCCCGACAGGGAGTCGAACCCTGGTCTCCCGCGCTCGTTCTCATATGAGTGACAAGCGGAAATCATGACCGTTAGACCATCGAGGATTTGTTAGTAGGCTCTAAATGCAGTTTTGACCTTATGAAGCAAATTGACCAAGCAGAGGGGCTCCAGAGAGGATGACCATTATCTTGAAGCTCCCTGCTCGCAGAAAGCCAAAGCCCTTGTTTTTTCCATCTCATAGGGCATCTCCAGATCTATGTTCATCCATTTACACGCGGAAAAGCTTCAAGTATTCGCAGGCGTCGCTTACCGGTTACCAACCACTACATGACCACCTTCGGATTCCCAGTATATATTTCCGTCGAGGCGCTCCATCCCGATCATGGAATTCCAACCACCGGACAGATGCTCATTAAACACACCTCCACTTAGGTGAAATATCTCCAAACAGCGCCTGCCTGGGAAACGCCTTCCCAGGGATTTGGCTGTTTTGGTCATAATCGGACTGGTCGGTCAGTACATCCGTCAACTGGTTGCGGTGTCTATACCTTCCAAAGTGAGAGCAGAAGTGTCTCATTGCAAGATTAGTCTGAATTCGAATTATCAGAGTTGGCTGTCGATACAAACATCCAAGCGTCGATTTCTCCTCCGATAGGTACAGGTCATCATATTCTTATTACTCTATCACAGTCACCGTGGAGGCAACCACCTGGGTCTCTCTGATCCCCACCAGGAGCATCGATAAATCGTTCCATGCAGGGAGTCCTTTGTTTCTAGCGTAAACGGTACAACTCCCAGCCCGCCGACAACCCCCTCTGGATCGTCATGCGGGGGTACCTCCACTACAAACCTCGAGGCCCTGATCTTTGTCAAAGGCCTCAGGAGAGTTAGCAGAGGAAGCGGCTTGTACAATGTTCCCATGTCGAGTGAGCGTAAGGTGACGACAAGTTCCTCCAGCGCCTCAATACCCGCAAGGACAGCGCATGCCTGTTCCCAGGAGGAAAGAACATTGGCGATGATGGCACGATTTTCAAAAGCTTGGATGTCAAGCCGGATATATCGTATTGATGCGAGTCGACGAGGAACCATACACAGTGGTAATGCCTGAACTGTAAGCGTGCTGTCGAAGTGGAATTTATTCGCTTCGTAGAGGAGACTAATCGCCTCGGTGTACCTGTACAGTCAATGAGACCGTTGCCATTTACTAGCTCGGAGGTAAATGCTTACACTCTGCGACAGCTGCAAAGCAGCGGCAGTATCTGGTCCTGATGGGGGCTTTCGCCGGGCAATCGCCTTGCCACCGTGCCGTCGTCAGCCCAAGGAGGGTAACAGGAGCTGTGAATATCACTTTGCATATCCGCCTGTGGGTTTACATTCCTGCACGGCATGCTGCAGAGTCTCCGATGGGTTCGCCGGACATGAAGCGCATTTGAAGGCACAAGGATCTCGCGATATATCATGCAGCGGATTTCGGGGGCCAGATTTGTGAAAAATAGGGACTGGAGCTGGTCGTGAGATCGTTGTTGAACATCCTCCTGCTGCGGCCGCAGAGGAAGGGTCAGAGAGCGGCGAGAGCGTGACAGAGCGACTGGTGGACGGCCACCTTTCTTAAGGATTTTCTTCAGAATCTCCGACGGATGAAGCGCATACCAGATGCCGCTGAAGATTAAGGACACTGCCCAGACGAACCACAAGCCGATTACAAAGAGGGCGACGAGGAGAGTCTCCGCTATTTTTTCTGCGACGGACCTGACGCTCATCCCTAGTTACAACTTATCGCTATTAATGCCAGGGTCAGTTCTTGTCGATATGATCGAATGCATCAGCTGCGTCAGAACTGTGATTATAATAGAATCCATCAGGCTACCGGAAATCAGCCTGAAATTAGCCTCGTATCCTTGCCTCGTTTTGGTCTTGGCGGTAGCCTTAGCCGTTTACGTTCCAGTTGGTGCAAATATCGGAAGCATGATCACGTTCTGGTTAAAGCACCCATTTCTATAAGCAGAAGATAAGACATTTCTCCACGTGTTGTTCGTACGAAGAGACCAGAGCTCTCCCACAAGCCGAGTCGCCAATCTGAGAGACTAAGACACAAGACCGTAGAAAGAGGCCAGATAACAACATCAACACGAAGAAAATATGAAAACCCTCTCCTCTGAATCCAATCTAACAACACAATGTTCCCAAGATACTCGATAGTTTTTCTACTATCCACCATCAGTATCGCCGCACATGCGTCTCCACGCAGCAGCGCAGTCCAAAAAAGCCCCAGCGTCATCATCACCGGCCCCTCCTCCCTCAACATAACCCACCTACTCGTCCACAGATACACAAACACACCCAGATATCTGTATGACGCCGTCAACCACAACGCTTATCGCCTCGGCGACACAACCTTCCACAGCTTCGCCTTCTCCCTCCAGGAAGAATGGCAGTTCGCTCTGCGCGGGTATTACAATCTCGCGCGATTCACTGCAGAGTCCAGCGACGTTAACCTCACACCAGGCTTGATCTGGGTCCAGGAGGATCAGCTCTACGTTCGTCTTGTTACGGGGACACCTCGTGAGCCCCAGATGAGCACTTTCCGTCTAGGGAGTGTGAAGGTGTGGAAGTGGCATGTGGTATCTGTTCTGGCCAAGTGGGGTGTTGAGGGAAACGGAAATCTCCAGTTGTGGGTTGATGGGGTGAAGGTCCTGGAGGAGTCGGGGGTGGATACGATTATGGATGATGGGGGATTGTTCCGGTTTGAGAGTTGTGGATTGGGGAGGTGTTTGGGGGTGTAGATTGTCTTTGGATTCAGTGGAAGAGTCTGATTGCTACTGGATGTGCACTAATATTAGTTGAGATGCATTTCGGTATCATAAATGCGTTATTGTTTAGGGAATCATTGATGGGCGTAAGTACTTTTGTTTTCAAGAAGCATGCATTGTGCAGAAACCATCAAAAGTCTCTTTGAGCAGACGATGAAATGACAGCCAAGCCATATGTTGAGGATTGGAGATGATGGATAGGATCGTCCCGAGTTACTTAAACCTTACTATCCTCATACCGCGCAAGGCTATTCCTTGCCGTCGCATTGAGAACATAAAACGGCAGCATGGGCTGTGCTGTTGCAGGCGACAGCTGCGGATCGACGACTTCCCTCTGGCGTGGTAAGGACACGGTCACCTGGCCATGACTTTCCAACGGAGCGATAATCGAAGTCGACATATTCGGCATTGGAAATAGATGCGGCGTGCTAGGTCTGAAGAGCGGGTGGATGTTCTTCTCAATAGCTTCGAGGAGGGACTCGCGAGCGGTCGGAGAGGGAGTCGGCGTGGTGGCTTCTGCACTGTCCTCGTTGCTGGACTCAAGGCACCGAATGACGGTGTCGATGGATGGAGTCGACTGGAGCGACTTTTCCCTGCTGCGAGTCTGCAGAAAGAGCGGCTCGGGTTCTTTGCAGGTGTAGTAGTTTGGGAGTGGGGAGCGGAGGATGCTTGTTCTGACGCTCATCTCGCTCTGAGGGGATGGTAAGGGGTCGAGAAATGAAGGGACGGGTGATAGGAGGCGGTTTCTCCACTGTGGACTTTGTGGTGAGATGAGGTTGGTCGTTGAAAAGACTGATTCGGCTGTGCGGCCGATATCTATGTGTGGATTGGACACTCGACAGGAATGGTTGTCGAGGATGTTGGAGAGGACGAACGAGAGGGCACAGAGAAATCCTTGACAGTATGCTGAGATCGTCCATACGACGGCGTGGGCTATGTTCATGGAGAGCCACACGCTGCTGGATGAACTCTTTGGACTGTTGAAGTAGAGATTTCCCACCCTCTCACCGCTAATGATGCCGATATTGATGAATATGATGGGACTGAAGAGAGCTCGAGCTCGGAATTTCCACAGGACCCATTCTGCCGCTTGAGATTCGCTCTCAAGGAATAATCGGTAGGATAGAAGACCAACGAGTATGAAATTCACGGCTGTAAGAGAAACGCTGCTCCATTTGCTAGGATTGGGTTCGTTTGATGGGCTCTCTTGCAGCATATAGGATGTAATGGAGATAGCAAGGTCAACGAGAACGGAAAAGGCCGTGATACTGCCTACGAGGCAGACAAGCATGGTTCTTCCCATGCTGACAGCGTTAGGGGTTATACTAATGGTGGATACCGAGAGAGTAAGCAATATAAGCAGTGGAAGGAGGGATAGAAATCTGGGGTTGAACGCCGGATTGAAAAGCACTGGGACGAAATACTGGGAATCAATGGGCTGGCGTGAGCATTATCATAAGCTTTTTCAGTAACTCGCGACATTGAGAAATCGAAATAAGTTTGCAAGTTGAAGACAAGGAATCAATGACGACTAGACTACATCGCATCAAGATCTAATCAGACTCGAGTTGGGTAACAGCGAAGGCAGCTTTGAATTTCAAGTAAAGGTAGTCGGTCTATATAGACTAGGATGGACGAAACTTTGTCTGCTAGTCGCCTAGTTGTACACCTTCATTGGAGCTTCATGTTATGATGGTCCAGACTCCGGTTCCACCTGAAATCGGAGTTACTGATTTTGATAGAGACCACGCGGTTGGGGTTGCATATTCCCTGATTGACCTTCAACGGTCTGGCAGCAACCAGTGAGAAGTTCCAACGGGCATCCCGGATCATGAATCAGGGCGGAAATTGGACCCTTGGAGACCGAGTCCAATCGGGTCTGCTGCCTATTCCTTAGTGTGGGTCAACGGGACAGAAACTCGCCGAATGCCCAGTTTTACTGTTGGCAGGCATTTCATTGCTACTATTGAGACTGTTGCTGGAAGGTTGGACAATGAACTCTGAAGGCTTTCAGGAACATAGCATGTTCTCTTTTTCTCTGGGGACTACCTCTCTAGACCTCTGTTGATCTCGGAGATCAATCATCTTCTCCCAGAACAATAAGAGCATGATCCGGCTATGTACTTCTAATCATTATCCACTGGCTTTTAGTGCGCACGAACATGACGGAAAATGATGTAATGATTATGGGGAAATGGAGCAATGATAAGGTTAACACTCCCATCTCAGGTCAAATGTATCCAAAGAACCGGTCATCTCATTGTGATGATACAGCTGGTTGCAATACCAGTGCAAATGTTTATTTCTGATTTCTTTTCTGAAACCTAATTCAAAACAGAGCTAAACTGTAACTAGCAAGCCCATGGAATATCTATCTTCTGTGTATTTTAATGATAATGTACAAAACTGTAATCTGTAATAATGACATGCAGACATACATTTGGATCCCGTACGGGTGATCAATGGGTGGCTTCGTGCCCTTCTCGCCTTGAAGGATGGAATTGTAAAGACCCTTCAGAGCTATGTAGTTCGACCACAAGAAACATTTCTCTACTGGAGCATAGCGCGGACTTTCTGTTCCCCGCTCGAGTCACCTCAAAGCACGAATGGGGCGATCCAGTGCGGGGTTACAGTAGATACCTAGTGTCTGAGGCTCTGAGCGTCCAGTTATAACAACCCCTAGTCACATCAACTCAGCTCGGCGGGGCGCGAAAAGACGCATATCAGCAAACAAACAATAAACTTATTACCAAGTCTGAATTATTTAAGTCAATAAACAGAGTGCAACCTCTGCCGTTTATCATTTCAGTGGGAACGTCAGTTTGTGTCTTAAAAGTACTATGAGCATTCCAGCCTTCAATCTCCAGGCTAACAATGAGGCAGATGTGTGATTATATAGTGACCACTTGCCCTCGATGCAATAACATTATCAGAACCGAGCAAATCGATACCTGCCGTAATACCATCCATACAGCCTCTGACTTAAACGCCAATATAACAGAACGAAGCGAAGTTTGTGGACCCTGTAGTTTGCCTACCCCGGAGTCACAGTGAGACAAATTCATGGGTTCGAAGCTCCCAAGATAGCACTGAAGCATACCTGCTGACGTTGACAAAGGGCATGCGAAATTCACAGAAGTAATGACGGGTCGCGGGGATTGAGATATGTTGGTGGTCCGGAGGTATAATCTACAACGAAGGGTGGGAGGCTCTTGATACCACTGTTGTTATGCGCTCGGGCAATATCTTTATTGATCTTGTTCTGTGCTGGTATAGCTGCCGTATAAGCTTGCACTGTAGCACCCAGCCGAACAATTGCAACAGGAAGCTTGTTTTGCTCTGGTAAATGTCCCACTTCAGGGTCATAGGAAGTATTTGAAATATCAAATACAAGGAACACGCGGGTCGCCCACTTCTCCTTTGCCAGCAGCCTCATTTTAGGCCAGTGGTTATATGTGTACTCCACTAAGCAATTCTTTTTGAGGATCTCAAAAGCCACTGGGAGCAAGTCCTCTGAAGCAGACCAAGACTGTTCCCAGTAGGCACTGGTGTTTGAGATGATGACAAGAACTCGAAGGGGCTTTTGTTCCACCATTTGGATGTCTATGTTTGTCAGTTCTATTGTCTTTGGTATCCAACCCCAGGTGACTCACTGTGCACAGTCTGAGACTATTATCATCTATTGTTCTAGGTAAATGAAGCTGTGTCCTGTAAAATGCCCCCTAGAAAGACGCGGACGCGAGGTCGGATTTATGAATAATCCATCTGAGAGCCAGTTCCAACAGGCAAATGTCAGGAACATTGTTATTCCGAAGGCCTGTGGCTTAGGCTTTCGGAGACCTTTACAAAAGTGGTCTAGCGTGTGTGTTCCAAAGTATTGAAGAGTATCCATGATAAACATCTGCACTGGTATTGCAGTCAGCTGTACACTGCTAACTAACAGATGCTATAGTTTACTCAACTCATCAACATGGGAGTGGTAATCATAAGGTACTTTGTAAACCCTTGATACAATCTCACAACAACCTGCAATTGCTCTCAGTGTATCTCGTCCCGGCGGATACACGGAATATCGACAACTCGTTGACGAGGTACAATCCCTGAATTTTACCTCCTTGGAGGTTCAATAGTATATTTTACACGAATTAGATAATATGCCTCCTAATATGCATACCTTTTTTAACGCTAATCTACTTCCGCTAAACAGCAAGATCCATGAAACGCGCAAGCAAATGAACAGAAGCTTATCACTACATACAAGAAGAAAGAAAAAGCTAAACCGTACAGACAGCGGAAGAGGGGAGATTCATCTATTCCAATTAGTCCTGCAATCAATTCTTCAAATCCATCAAATACTTGACCCCCGAATCAAACATCCACCACGCCGTCAACTCATGCAACCACTTGCCCACCGCAGTCTCCAACGGCATCAAACCCTTCTCCCCCGTCGGCTTCCACATCAACGTCTCATTCATAAAGACCATCTGATCGTCTTTCTCCGTAATCGTAATCACCAACCGACCCCGAACAGCACCCATCGGCTTAAGCTCAAACTCCACTTTCTCCGGCGTCCGCAGAAAGACCCGGTAAGCGCCGCAGACGAGATCCCCCTCCTTGAAATCCAGACGCTCGAGGTTCGCTGCCTTGAAACTGGGCTTTTCATCCTCTGTGCTCATCGTTCGGAGGATATATGCTTGCGGGAATCTCGCGAAGCGGCTCATATTCCGCCGGAGCATGCGTGTGAGCAGTTCTTCAGTCGGTAGAGCGGGGAGTTTTCCGCGCGGCACGGATGTCGTGGCTGAATCGTAGACAGCCACTGTCTGCTCCGTGAAGACCTCATCGGGTGCGGTGGTGATATTGGGGGATATTGAGCGCGGAAGATGCCCGTGTTGCTCTTTCGTTGTGATGCGCGATTTGAGGTTCTGGCGGAAGAGGTAGACTCCCACGGCGGTGGTGCCGAGGATGGCGGAGGTGATGGGGATGACGGCTTTCATGTTGCGATGCGACTCGGTTGGTGAAGAGAATAGAAAATTTGCGAAAGTGGACGAGCTCGTATGGATTAAATAGTCGGAAATGCCAACGTCATGAGGCCGAATACGAGATTTGGATCGCGGCATGACCCACTCACATTCTTGACTCTATTGTTTCGCTGCGAATGATTGGCCCATTTTAAGGCCAAGACAAAGTCAGGGACTAATTTATGTCCATAAGTAGTCACAAGTGATGCATAAATTGCCCTGTTTTTGGATCCCACCCCTCTGATACAAAACTTAGGTTGTCCCAGTTGGTGATTTGTGGGACCATAGCGAGGCTTGTTTTCTGCGATGCCACAATACACACTAGTGATATGAGATTGCTCATTCGGGGAAAAAAAGGGCCCAATCCGTCGCTCGAGCAGATTTGAAAACGCAAGTGCAGGTGGGAAAGAATGATGGGAGGTCAGTGACCATAAATTCTGACGCAGTGAATCGACACTTATGTTTGATATCATCACGTGATCACAACCCCTTGATCTCCACTGGCGTCGACATTGCTCTGGAATAGTGTTTCGGACCCAGAAAGGCAACATTTCTATCTTCATCGCTGATGGTCGCACAGGCTTTCAATGAGCATGGACGATTCCTCTTCGTGGACTCAGCAAGCTATTGACAAGTTCTTCGCGGCCCGAGAATCTCCTACTCGATCAGAGTGCGATGACCATGCCCGCAAGATCTCTGGTGCCACCGCAGTCCAGCAAGTTGCCGTTCCAGGCTCGCTGAGCTACACAGTCCGCTGCAGAGATTTCCTTGACGAGGAGCATGATTTGGTTGTGTCCTTTCGACAAGCCGAGTCACCCCTAGATCATGGTGTCCTTAAGTTGGCAATATCCATCCATGGCGCACTAGTCCCAGAGCCTGTCTACCATGGCGAAATGCCTAATTCAAAACCGCCCCTTCTGGTCTATACGATGCCCTATCTGCCAGGCATCTCTTGCCTAGAGGCTCTCAGCAGCAAAACTGAGTTGAGCCTCAGAGAGGAGAGCAGACATATATGTTTTGCCAAGCATCTAGCCAGGTATTCCTTCTCCCCCTTTCTCCTTAGTTTTAGGAGTACAACCAAAAGGAATATTGATACTCCTCTCCAGGTACTTTGCTCGGTGTTGGTTAAGTCCACCGCCGGTTGACCCTGAAGCGCAAGCAGACTTCCACAAGAGAGTCTATCGCCAACTCATGAAAATCAAAACTTCAGCCCCCTCCATCCTTTCCTGCACGCAAATCATTGAACTGGAACGCAGCCTTCCAATTCTTTTCGGCCAGACATACCCGCAAGTCCTCACACACAATGACCTTTCTCAAACAAATATCTTGATAAATGAGGAGACTTTTGAGATCACGGGTGTTGTCGATTGGTCTTTAGCCGAAGTGCAACCCTTTGGCATGGAACTAGACTCCCTTCTATTAGCGACTGGCTATATGGATCTCGACGGCTGGCACAATTACACATGCCGCTTGCAAATGCTTAATGCTTTTTGGGACGAGTTCTGGATTCGCTGCCAAATTCACGACGATATACGCCAGCAAGAGCTCCGTGCCTCTGCGATGCAGGCCGCCAAAATCGGCGCAGTGTTGCACTACGCATTCCAGCGTAACGCCAATGGCTCCCCATCCGAGGAGCTGACGACTTCTAAATGGGCTTTGAAAACTCTGAGTGCTTTGCTTATGGGCTAGAACATTGCGGGTGCCCAGATGGGTAGCCGGGGCAAACCCTTGGACTTGAAATATTGATTTGTCACACATCCCGGGTCGTTATCTGTATGTTCATCGTGATCTTGAGTGTTGAAATAGAGCGAAAACATTTGATGCGTTCCTGACTGCGAATGTCAATAGTTCCATTGGGTGTACTCAATATTTCTGCATATTCCTCCAACTTGGCGTCAGTATACAAATTACCACATCTATGTAGAGATAATCACGCTCTCTGTGTCTGTGTGAAGAGGAAGAGGCCCCGACGGCCACCGATCGCTACTTTAAATGTCTCGTGATCTTCAAACGCGTACTTGAGGAGGAAGAGACAAGGATGACAGAAAGTAGCCAGAGAGAACTCACCGAGTTAGTCAAATGGTCCAGAGACATAGGCGCTAAGTGGCTTCATATGCTAGCAACTTTCCACAGGGTTCTTTGACGATCTGACCTTTCCTTGTATGCAGCTGAGAAATCACAAGGGTGTGCAGTGGTGGGATGAGCGGTGGGGGATACGGAGGAGGTCGGAAAATTTGTCGCGGATAAGATGAAGGACCTGGCAGCGTATGATGAGATCAAAGTTAAGGTCGCACACTACAAGGTCCTCATGGATAATGAGATGTCCGCAGAGGATTTTATTTCCAGTGTGTCCTCTATTCCCGGCTCTGATTGATATCTCTGCCTAGGTTCAAAAAGGTCTCGAAGATCCAGGAGCGCTGATAATAGGGGACTGGAGATGTCTTTGGTGTGTACTCAGGCCTCGTGCCAAGCAGAACATGGCAGTGGGCCACATCTACGACTTTTTTGTTCTACAACTATATATAGTACAAACTCCAAAGGCGGGCATGCATACCATGTTAATGTGCTCTGTTCTTGAGGTTCGAACTCCAGAATACTTGAATGGAGCCGGGGCTCTGGCCCAGAAACTGCTCCGAGAACAACTTTATTACCTCAGGCCAATGTTGTTTCTTGTCTTCTTTCAACTTTAATAGGAGGTTCTGCTCTTTAGTTAAATATGGCATGCCTTTGCGGGAGTTCCCATGAGGCTCTACAGAATCAGTTGACTGAGCTAAGTGATGTGCTGGCTGTGCTATACATTCAGGTGCTTCTGAGTTGGATTAGGATATGTAATGTGGCGTGCGCCTTTGAATAGCTAGGAAAGAAATTATAAGCATTCATTAATTAATATAGATGTGATCATGTGAAGTGAGAATAAAGTGATGAACCCAGATAAGAAAGTGGATATGCAGATGATGAAGATTAAATAATCTTAAAGTAGTATGGGAGATGATCAGAACCATTGAAGTAATGATCACAAGATATACATAGAAAGTCCATGAACTGACCTCATGACAAGGATAAAGAAGATAAGAAAATCCTTAACAATATTAATAGTACGGAGCAGTTCTGAAAGATTTAAGGACCAGAGAATGATAGAAACATGTCTGAAACTGTGATATCACCCTTCGCTAAGGATCTTGAGCATACAAGATGACTGTGTTTTATAATCCTTATCTCCTTACCATTACCCTGCACCTCATAGAAGTTAGTTTAGCCTTATTTGCTGCCTTATCTAGAGGGTGAAGTACAGGTACATTAAATTCTAGACAAACTCATTAGCATTCACATTACAGACAGTCCCTCACTCTTCCTGTAATCTCTAGCTAGAATAGAGCAGGTAAGCAGGATTTAAGATGAGCTTATTTTAAGGGGCTTATAGTGAATATCTCTCATCATGTTTACCCATTAAAGGACATAAGATCTGAGAGGAGAAGTAAGCTCACTGTAACTTAAAGCCTACATGTAAGACTTAGTGAATGTAATCTAGCTTGTAGCCTTATTCTAAGGTTAAAGTGAGAAGGAATTCAAAGCACAG